TCTCTCGGCACCTCTCGGTTCACATCTTTTTCTCGATCCTTGAATGAACCTTGTAGGTGAGGAGGACTAGGGAAGAAGAAGAAAGAGGTGGGAGTCAACCATTGCCACTCGTCTATAGCCACCAAGTCAGACAGGCTCCCATGAGCCGTTCAGGCAGGGGGCAAGTAAGTCCAATTCTCACCTGCCTCCCCACAACGCTTAGTAGGAGTTCTGGCCACGGTGGGCATAGCCTTAGCCTGAAAGGAAGGATGGAGTCTGGACCCAAATGCAGTCTTTCGGATACCACGGGCAATGCCCATGGCACTGGACTCTGCTCTTGCCCTGCCATCCTTCTCTTGGAGTGACAGGAGCCCGAAGAGTCTTGCCTGAGGCTGAGTTCGGCGAGGGCAGGGAATTTGGGTTTTCACAACAACAACTCATTTCAGCCTGTTGGCCACCCAACCAGAGGTTAAAATACTCAGTGGAGGTCTCCCATCGTCTCTGGTCTGTAGTAGTCTCCAGTTTTGGGCTTCAGAATGGGAAGAATTCAAATGGGATGCATCAGTAGATCAAGCAGTAACTATTTTAATTAGAGCAAGCAAGGAAGAAAGAACACGCTCTTCAGACAAGAGGAGGCTGAGCCGAGCGGCAGCGGCCTCCACACTGGCAGGCCTGGGGCTTATATTTTCTCCTCCACACTGTCACCTGCCGTGTGCCTCTCTCTCCCAGGGTGCACGTTTCTAGAAAGGGGGTGTGCTTTTCTTAGAAGCCCACTTTGTCTGGAATTCAGTCTAAGTCTATGTATAATATATAAGAATACACTTAAAGGGTTTAAGCACCCCTAAAGTTGACTGGGGTAAAGAGGAGCAGACTACATCATGTGATCTCCTGGAAGCTAACTCTTGGGTTGCTTTAATATAATCTGACTGGCAGGGCCCACTGTCACCCATTACATCTGTTTTGGGGGGCCTGAGCTAGCCCGTCTGGATTCAATAACCACTGTTACCTTTACACCCTCTTTTAAGGCCTGGAGCTGCCCCACCCATGTTCCTTCTCTTCTTTCTTTGGGAAGCCTGCTTAGTCAGACCCTCCCGGAGCGAACTTCCTACCCAATGAGAACAAAGCTGAAGTTCATGTTTGGAGGGACAGACCTGAAAGAAGGAACCCCAGACTGCTCACCCAAGCCCAAATTTTGGCAAAAGGATCTCAAAATCTTGGGGAAACCAGTCTGTTGATGTCTGGATGGGCCTGGAATTCATGTCCAACCACAGACCCATCTCCCTTAAGATGGGAAATGGGCATCATGATCAGCCAAGGCCACCAAACCCCAACTACAGAAGGTGAAATGTTTGCCCAAGGTTTAACAGCATGAAGGAAACAGAGACTTGAACCCAAGCTAAGGTTCATACCAACTCTCTCTCTCTCTCTCTCTCTCTCTCTCTCTCTCTCTCTCTCTCTCT